CTATCTCTTTAAACAAGCTGTACTAGAATTATATAAATGGCCACGTCATTTTAAAAGACAACTGTTTTAAAACTTAGCCATATCTCACAGGTTTTTTTTTCTTGCAAATACAAATGTTATATACATATTTCTAAACTCTTTTCAATCATATAGATACAAACATTTTCTTAAAGGCTTTTATAAATCTATACCTTTTTTTCAAAATTACATATATTAATTTTAAGTAATAGGCTTTAACTAGATATACGATAAACCATATCTTTAAGCACTAATTAAGCAGAGTATAGACAACAAATCCTTTAAACCTAGTCTAAGTCCTATGGAGCTACCTCAGGTAGATTTTAAGGGGTGCCTAACACCTTCCCCTTAGAAGAACATGAACCCTTACCCAAATCTCACCGGTTATCAGACTAATAGAGAAATGATCTTAATAATTAAATAGGTACCCTAGTATACCTTTAAATATTAGATGACGACTCTCTTTTATCATCAATAGGGAAATACTAGTTGAATCTTGTTTTGACTAGTGCAAAATAGGGCGCTACAACATGGCGACTCTGCTGGGGACTTCACAATTAGGATTTGACCTTAGTAAACTTAAACTAGACTTGGAATTTAGGATTGTTTGTACACTGCTTTAACTGTGTTTGATTTGCAGTTGTATGCTTACCTGCCTTACTTGCTCATTATGTACTGCTTACTTTAAATGTTATTGCTAATATCCCACTATCTGTTACCATTTTATATATATTGTCATCAGACTTTTTCCTATCGAGTCTTGGCTATACACTATCACAGACAATGGCACGTGAGGATTATTTTTTACACCCCTTCGAACCTTCTTTCAAAATTATTTTCAGTGAATGGCTTTGTGAGGTCAAATGACATAACTTCTCGCAATATTCAGTCCAACTCAAAATAAGGAAACACACTACTCTAGCAAACATAGGTCATATTGCATAAACCTTAGGTGGGTCGGTCCTTGGCATCGACACCCAATTAGGAATGCCACCCTAATATCAATGGGTCATGCACCCAACAACATGACCTTTGTGGAAAGACGAACTAATCATGAAGAGTACTTAAGATCTGAAGAAAATACTTATCAAACCCTTTTTCTCTACCCTCTTTAGAAATAAAAAATCAACGAAAATATCCCCGAGATCAATATGGTGATGGGAGCACCGCACAAGCTAACGCAATGGTGGAAGAACATCCGCTGAGAGCATGGAGACAAAATCAGGGCACACCTAGGAGCATTGACTGCCTTGCTAAACATCCGAGCTGACAAGATGCTTACCCGCTTGCTGATAGAATTCTGGGATTCGGCCAAAGTAGTTTTCAAGTTTGCTGATTGTGAGTTGGTACCAACGTTGGAAGAAGTTACCAATTTCTTAGAGCTGCCATTTACGGGGAGGAGACCAATACTACCGGTCACCATGCCCGACTACAGGTTTCTTGATGCTTTGGGTCTGGCAAACAGTCAGGGTTTGAGAAACATTGAAGATGGATAGGTAAACCTGGACCGATTGTTCGATAGGTTCAGACATCGTGAGAGCTATGAATGGTACTTGGGAGAATTTCAGTGTGATCAGGCAACTTGAGAAACTCTCCGACCCATAACTTCTCTTTGGCACTGCTGGGATTGCTGGTTTTTCTACAAAGAAGAGGACGTATCAATATCAATTTGCTGCATGTGGTTTTAGCAACATTCCGGGGCAATTTTCAAGCTACTCTGGTACCTATGGCGTTAGATAAAATGCTTAGACCACTGTCAGCATGTTCCCGAGGGTACGATTTCTTCAAGGGCTGCAACCTGCTGCTTCAAATATGGGCCGCAGAGCACTTCTTTCAACGAGAGGCCACAATTGACTACTTTGTAGGCGTTTTCGAAGTCACAGCGAGAGAATGAGGCATTGGGTCTCCCCGCATAGACATGAAGAATGGAGAGAGATGCTGACCAACTTAAGTTGAGAATGAATCAATTGGAAGTTGTCATGACTGGCCGGAAAATAAGATTTCCTTTCCTTTGTGGCGACTCTCTTTTATCATCAATAGAGAAATCACTAGTTGAATCTTGTTTTGACTCGTGCAAAATAGGGTGCAACAAATAAGATTTCCTTTCCTTTGTCTATTGAATATTTAATTTCAATTACTTTTTACTCTTCTACATTTGAAAAAGTGAAGTAAACTTAGTTATTAGAAACCCGATTTATTCTAATAGTGACTTTGACGACAAAAACTATTTTTTGGTTAAAACAATAAGCGGAAGAGATATCGAACAAAAAATTCTAGTTCGTAGAATCTATAATCAATTTTTTATTTTATACATGCCAGATTATAAACTTGTAACTGTTTTCAATTTTAAAATATTATATTTTGGTTGAACTATCCATTTTTGAAATTGTTACAGAATCTTCATAAATGAAACAAAACCTTCATTTTACTTTACTTTTTTTTTAAAAAAAATCGTCATTAATTTAGAATATGCCATTTTATTTCTTGTTGTGCATTGAACTCAGGAAAAATACAAAGCATTTAGCATGCTTTTTCAATGCATGTCACATTTGACTTACATATTATATTGTCATTCAACGGATCGGTTGACTCGCATCACGCCTTTTATTATTTCAAATTATTTAGAGACCTAGTGCGAGTCATGAGCAAGGTGAAAAATACATTCTGGTGAACCCACCTTTGTTCGAGGGAGCTGTCTTATATTGAATTGAGTTAAAACTTTTAGTACAGTTATTTCTTGTATGTACTTCTATAGTTGTGCTCCACAAATGACATGACAAATCAGCTGTTTATGTTACATACTTTAGGGATTATTTTTATACGGTTAGGTTTATGCCAAAATTAAATGAATATATATGAATGGGATGAGTCCATTAGGTGAAGGTCATGACCTGAAATTGGATCGTAAAAGAAAGTTAGGGTTAGGATCACCTCCAATGATTGATCCTCCAGTAATGTTCGAGTGCTTGACTTAAATGTTAATGGCTTCCTTCTCTTTCTTCACTTACGGAAAAATAAAGTATACCATGTTTGTTTTTTTTTCCTTATAAATGCAAGGAAATGTTGGAGATTTTTTTTTTTTTTTTTTTTTTTTTTTTTTTTTTTTTTTTTTTTTCCCTAGCTCATCTTCAGTGCTAGAAACATCCATCCTAAAATATGCTTTGACTTACAGATTTTAGTACAAAAATTAAATATATTGCATAAAGTTAAAGACAAAATAATTTTAAGTAGAAAACCTCCTTACTCAAGGGAGTAAAATCCAAAGGAACTATAAATTCTAGTACCTTATCCTCTACGATCAACTCAATTGTATCAAATCCTCCTAGACTATAAACTCTAGTCTAAAACTCTAAAAATAATTTCTCTGAATTATTTATCTACGATTACACTTCACATAAACAAAAATAGATAAGGAATAATAACTCAAGACTTTAATTAACTAAGGAACTCAAACAATGTTTTCTCTGGATCAAGTTCTTTAGTGGAGTAACTTAGAATCCATAAAAGTACCTTCTTGCTATGGTTGCTCTTTGCCTTTTGAACAATATATAGTGTTTTGGGAGAAATAGCACCTTCTTGTTATGATTGCTTTGTCTTTGAACAATATTTAGTGTTTTGGGAAAAATAGCAGTGGTCTTCAATAAAAGCGAGCAATAAATATTCTCTAAGAGTTGCTCCAATATTTTCTCCAAGACCTAGAATAATTCGGGCACTCCATATAAAGAAAACAAATCTAAGAGGATTCAATTTCTTTCCTTAAAAAATCTCTTTCACACGACTTTTCTTTCCATGCAAGTATTCCTATAATTAAATTGCTTGTTCAACATGAACTCTGCTATCCAAATATAACACTTGTTGCTCACGAAACAACCCTTTATGTTAGCATAATAAATATCTTGAAATGGCCTGATTTTTTGACAACCGTTTGTTAATCATCAATCTTATTTAAGCTCAGCTTAACATTCAACAACTAAATTTCTGCAAAAAATTAATACTCAAATTTGACAGAACTCATAGTTCGTCCCCAATTCACACCCGTTTTCTCTTTCTCCTTACTGTTATAATTAACGCTTCTTGAGTGACTACCAATAACACCCACTTCTAATTGAAGACAAAATTTCTGTTCAAGAATTACAAGAATTCGATGGAGATGATAGTGATCCAAATTCAGTTTTTAACTTTAACTGCCATTTGCCATTCTGGTTTATTTAACAGACAAGAAAATTTGGTTAGTGAGAGAAAATGAGCTTTGCTAAGTGGGTAACAATGGACAATTAAGTAGTGACCATAGCATGATAGTTAAAAGAGAAGAAGCAATCTAAGGTATTAAAATCTAAGGTGAACAGATGGCTTTAATCAAGCATCCTACCGAACATTACAAGGAGTAAAATTAGAATTTATCAATATTTTAAGGATTAAAATCACGAATTCCCATTTTGACTATCTAAGACATCGTAGTCAAGTGGAAAATTAAGTGCGACAAAAACAAATTAGTAATGTCATTGCATATTTAAATTATAGTTATTCCCTGCCGTCCAGCCGGCTGATTCATCCTTAAATAGCAATCATACAATTAAAAAAGGAAAAAGGAACAGTTTAACAAAGATCTATATATTGAAATCATCTGACATGTATACTTTACAACTTTACTAGAAAACTCAAATATGATGCTCTTTCTGTTCTTATTAGTAACCCTTCTTCCTGGGATGGGCATAATACCGGCCGAACCGAAAAAACCGGTCGAACCGTGAATTTTAATTTTTCGGTTTCGGTTTAATCGGTTTTTCGGTCGGTGCACGGTTTTTAAATTATTAATTTTTGATTTTTCGGTGCGGTTTACGGTTTTGGTGTTTCGGTTTAACCGAATAACCGAAATTTTGGGTATTAGTTATTACCCATTTTAGGCTGAAGCCCAATATCTATTTGAACTTTGAAGCCCAATTTAGTTTACCCAAATCCAAACTTATTGATAGTCTGTCTAATACCCAAAGTCCAAACTCATCGGTTACAACTGACTAAATCACTAATACACATTACACTTAGTCACTTCCCATTTTCCATTTCCCAAACCTAAATAAAGAATTAGATTTAGGGTTCTCAAGCCTACATCAATTGAAAAGTTCGCCTCTTCGGTTCTTCCTTCTTACTGTGCGACTGATGCGACTCGTCGTCGCCGACTGCTGCGACTTCTTCTGAGTTCCTGTGAGTTCTGCGCCTTCTTCCTCAACTCAACAGTAACGCCTTCTTCCTCAGCTCGTCGCTCATCTTTCATCCTCAGGTTAGTGCGAGTTCTTCTGAGTTATGAAGAAAGAAAATGTCTTAATCTTTTGTGTATGTTGATTTTCAATTAGTCTGACTGTTAGTCTTTTATTTATGTTGATTTTCAATTATCTCACTGTTATTCTTTGTGTATGAAGAAAGAAAATATCTCACTGTCTTAGTCTTTCACTTCAATATATTTCAAAATCAGGTCTAACGTATGGACAGCTTTACTTTAGTATTAAGCACCACAATTTCTCTCAAAATTTCAAAAAGCAATCAAGTACACCAATAAAATAATAAGGTGCTTGGATGTTTCTGCCAAAGAAGATTTATGGCCAACCAAAAAAGCAAAGGATTTGCTTTACATACCACTATAATAAATAAGTATTATAAATAAACTCTAAAGTTAAAAGAGAAAGGTGCTTGGATTTGTATGTTTCTGCCAAATGAGGTTTCTAGGTAGATGGCCAACCTAAAAAGCAAAGGATTTGCTTTACATATCACTACAATAAATAAGTAATGTAAATAAACTCTAAAGTTAAAAGAGAAAGGTACAGATTAAACATGTTTTCACTTATGAACATAGGAAAATTAGTATCTACTCATAATCGTTTGATAAATGTTGTATGTACTAGTAAATGGATTCAAGGTTCTATAGCAGTAAGAACGATTGAACAACCAAATAATGTTAATAATCTCATCACTACTAGTACAAAATCAGTTCAACATGAAAAGATGAATCAAAAAAAGTATAAATTTTAACCTTATGTAAAATATTTTAAAGGCAGTTAACCACAAATTTAATCCAGTGAACAACAGATTAGAATAGAAAAATACTTACCAAAATTTTAATATCAAAGAATTAGTTTGTTTCGACATTTATTATATATGTCGCTAAATAAATGTCGTCGTAGCTATGATTTTTTGTAGTGTCTATTTGTTACAGACTTATAGGAGTTCTGACCTTAATTCTATTTTCATTCGATTTTCTATAGATGGCAGAAGTTAAAAGTAGAGTAAGTGGGGTGGGTTCATCTGAAAGCGAAATCACATCTTCACCTGCAAATTCAGTTGAAACTAGTCAAGGCCCAAAAAAAAAAGAAAATCCGTAANGAAAATTCGTAGAATATAGATCAACTGCTTGGGATCATTTTGAAAAGTTTAAAGATGATAATAGAGGTGATAGAGCAAAGTGTAGACATTGTGGTCGTGATTATAAGGCTGATTCACGATTGAATGGAACAACATCATTGAATACTCATTTAAAGAAGTGTTCAAAAATACCACGAAAAGTTGATAATACTCAAACACAATTGTATTTACAAAAGGATGGGCAAATTAATGGTGGGGTGCTTTGAAAATTTGGACAAGAACTAGTTAGGAGGGCTTTAGTTGAGATGGTAATTACGGATTTATTGAAAAGAAAGGCTTTAAGAAATTTATGAGCATAGCCCAACCTCTATTTAATGTTCCTTCTCGTAGGGCAATTACAAGGGATTGTTTTCAAGTTTACAATGAAGAAAGGCTTACACTAATGAAAAATTTCAGAGAAGTAAAACCAAAAATTTGCCTTACCACAGACACATGGACTTCATTACAAAGAATTAACTATATGTGTTTGACGGGTCATTTTATTGATAGAGATTGGGTGTTGCATAAAAGAATACTAAATTTTTGCCCTATCTCTAGTTATAAGGATGACGAAATGGCAAAAGTTATTGGTAATTGTTCGCTTGAATGGAAATTGGATAAGGTATTCGCTGTTACTGTTGATAATGCTTCTTCGAATGATGTCACGGTAAAAGAATTGTCTAAACAACTAGATATGTGGAAAACTAATTCGATGAGTGGTAAGCATCTTCATGTGAGATGCATGGCTCACATATTTAATCTAATTGTGCAAGATGGTTTGAAGGAAATTGATGTTTCTGTAAAATGTGTTAGACAAGCTGTGAGGTATGTGAGATCATCTCCGCAAAGGACCTTAAAGTTTAGGGAATGTTGTGCACATCAAGAGGTAGAATGTAGCAAAATATTGTGTTTGGATGTTCCTACAAGGTGAAATTCCACTTACTTGATGTTGGAAACGGTGCAAAACTTTGAGAAGGCCTTTGACAAGCTTTATCTTTTTGATGATGGATTTTCTACTCATCTTTGTACGCATGTTTGTGAAGATGGGAATATTGCAGGTCCATTTGTATGTGATGATTGGGTGAATGTGAGAAACGTGATAAAGTTTCTTGAAAGATTTTACGAGCTTACCGAAAAAATTTCAGGTTCACGTTATGTTACTTCTAATTGTCATTTTGAGGATATATGTGAGCTTGATAGTCATTTGAAAGCTTGTTTAGCTAGTGATGATACTAATTTGAGTAAGATGTTAGGGAAGATGAAAGAAAAGTTTAAAAAATATTGGGGTGAACCGGAAAAGATGAATAAAATGATATTCATTGCTTCTGTATTAGATCCTCATAATAAATTAGAGTATGTTGGTTTTGCACTTGAGAAAATATTCGGGGAGGAACCAGGGAAGAAATTAACTGCCGAAGTGGATACTTATTTAAATTCTTTGTTTGGGGAGTATAAAAAAAAATACTCCAAAGGATGTTATCTTCAATCATCTCCATCTAAATCTACTTCATCATATGACACATTTGAGCTATCTAGTGGGAATGTGAGAACAAAATCT